TCTTAAAAAAAAAAAAAAAAAAAAAAAAAAACAAACAAAACAAAATTTAAGCTCAAGCCGGAGAGTGGGTGACCTAAAATCAAAAATAGATTTCATAAAACTCAAATATCAAACCTTCACAAATCACAATACATAATTAACATGGGTTAAAAACGTCATATATTTTTTATTTTCATAATAGTTTTAAAAGTAAGATTAGGTTATAACTCTATTTTTAAGTTGGTTGAGCTGATTTGACTTCATTTATGAATCGACCAAAATTTTCAATTTTCTAAAAACTCAACCCAACCCAAATATATATATATATATATAAATCTAACAAGTTAATCGAGTTCGAGGTTATATGAACAGTCCTATCAAATATATCTACCGACCTTAAATGTCTAATATATCCATTTTCAACCTATAAACTAAATAACTATTAGATATATAATTTAACGTTATATCTAATATCTTAATTTAAAAGATATTGAAAATGAAATACATCTAAAGATACATTTAACTTTTAAAAAGCTAATAGACAGAATAAAAAAATTAAAAATATTAAACAAAACTGTGAAATTTCAATCCTTTAAAAAATTACTAGACCCACAAAAGAAAAAATAAATGCGAATACTAAAAAAAGTAAAAATGAAATAATAAAAATAAATTCCACGTGCTCCAAAGGGAATCCCCGTGAAGAGAAGGCCCAAGTAGCAGGCTGAGAAGGTTGTCCGAGTCTATCAATTAGAAATAATATGATAATATAAAACAACAAAACAATAAATAATTAATTAATTATTTTGCAGTGCTTTCAGGCCAAAGCTACCCGTCAAGTTGCTCTCCGCTGTCCCTGACAAGCTTTAGAGTATTATATATGCTTACCAATACATCCATCTGTGCTTCCCTCAGCGGCCATCTGTCCTTTCGGCTTTGTGGAAGATAACATATGTTTGGTTCCCATGCTTTCTAACCTTTTTGTTTTTCTTTTATCCTTTATCACTTGGGACACTCGAATAAAGTCAAAACATTGTCTAAATAAAAGTGTAAAAAACATAACTATACCAACAAAATGCATCTTCTTTATCAGTGACTCGGTCATAAGAACTCCATAGTTTATTGAAAAAACTTGCATTAACCGATATGGGACTTTCATCCAACACTTTCCCTTAATCGAAGCTCAACTCCTTTTCTTTTAGAGTCTTAGTCATTTTTTACTATGTCTTTGAGACTCACAATACTACTTTTGTTGGACATTTGAAGATTCTATTGACATGGCTAAGTTTTAGGGCTTAGTTCTGATACTATGTTAGATGAACACGACTATCTATAATAATATGATATTGTCCACTTTGAGTATTAAGCTCTTATGAGTTTGCTTTGAACTTTTCCAAAAAGCCTAATTCCAATAGAAATAATATTATTTAATTATAAACTCATGATTATTCACTAAATTAGTTGATGTGTGACTTTCATCCAACAATAGGGAACACTAGAGTCATCAACATCAAATCTGGATTTCGAATCTTGGTCATGAGGTAGTACAAAAAAAAAAAAAAAATGAAGATAGTTCAAATTTGGCTTCTATTCTAAAATATTTCTTCACAATAAAAATAAAGTATTCAAAATCATTATAATACCTATGAAGTAAATCTGAGTAAAAGGACGAGGCTTTAAAGTTAAAAGCAATCTGAATTTAGCAATAAAAAGTTGGATTGTTTTAATCTTTTTAATATAGACGATTAAAACTCCAATTAGATAACAATAAATAAATAAAAGACAGATCAAATTCTCCATCGTAAAGAAAATTAAAAAAAGTCTTTAATCTTAAAAATAGTAGACATAAAATTAAATTTGTATTTCGAATAAATGAAAAGACAAAATAAATAAATATAAATAGATATTGTTATTAGTGAGACCAGACATTTTAAAAGTAGGAATTAATTTTTTATTTTTAAAATTAGTTTAATTATTATAAAATAATAATAAAATCTTCATTCTATATCCCCTTGGGTAAACGGGTAGTTTGGCTAAAAAAGTAAAAAATTTGCAAAAGTAGAGTTTACCGAACCATATTGCACAAAGGTGTAGTCACTAAAAAGCAGAGCGGTTCAAAAATGACAAGAAATATACAATCAACTTAAAACTTTAATTTAGATGGTCAAATTTTAAAAATGTTATTTATTCTAGAATGATGAATATAAGTTTATCAATTTCAAAAAATACAATAATTTTTACCTTAATAGACAATCTAAAATTTATTCTTAAAAAAAAAAAGTAGGGTTTTTAAAATAGAAACAAATAAAACTATTTACAAAAAAAATAATTGAATATTTTACACAAAATCTACTTTTAACAAAATTGAATAATACTATTAGAAAATATGATTCGATCACTATTTTAAAGCTTTTTTTTTTCTTTTTCTTAAATTTCATAATAAAAAAAAAGGAATAAATAAAAGTATCTCCAATTCAAAATAGTGTTTCAATAAATCAAAATTTACAAATTATTTAAACGCAATTTTAAATTAAAATATCACAAACAAAAAAAAAAAATCAAAATCAAAGCTTTAAACATGTTTATAATCTTTATTTAGCAAATAAAGCCAAAGATGCTGATAATCTTCTCATATTCTAAGGCATGTGCTCTTACATTTTATTTAATATCCTTATCTGTTTTAATTTTGTAACTTTTAGGGAAGAATAATAAATAAATAAGTTAGATTTTTTAAGAGATTCAAGGATAAAAACACGAATGTATTTTATGTTTTTTTAATATGTATTTGGTAACAAATTTTAAAACTATATCCAAATTTAAAGGAGTATTCAAAATTCATTTGTAGATAAATAAATAGAATATGAATCAAATGTATTTATAAACTAAAAAAAAAAAAAAAAACATTTACATAATAAAAATTGAAATATTAGTTTTGATTAAAAAAAAAAGAATTTAGGATAATGTTGGATGATGAAAGTCCCACATCGACTAATTTAGAAAATGATTATGGGTTTAGGTTTATAAGTAAGGAATACTAACTCCATTGGTATGAGCCTTTTGGGAAGCCCAAAGCAAAGGCATGAGAGCTTATGCTCAAAGTTGATAATATCATACTATTGTGGAGAGTCGTGTTCCTCTAACATGGTGTCAGAGCCATGCCCTAAACTTAGCCGTGCCAAATCCTCAAATGTCGAACAAAGGACTCCAAAAAGAAAAAAGGAGTCAAGGCTCCTCGAAGATACGAAGGCAGTCAAAAAATGACTAAGACTCCAAAGGAGTCGAGCCTCGATTAAGGGGAGGCGTGCTTTGTTCGAGGGGAGGTGTTGGTGTTGGATGATAAAAGTCCCACATCGGCTAATTTAGAAAATGATCATAGATTTATAAGTGAGGAATATTAGCTCAAATAAGTTTAGAAGTGAGGAATACTAGCTCAAAATGGATAATGCCATAAAAGTTAAAGAGGGTAATTGTCATAACTAAAAATTTAAAAATTAAAATACTATAAATTTAAAAATAAAAGACTAAATTACACCAAATTTTAAATTATAGTTTTAGGAAGGTTAAGTACCAAAACTATTTTTAAGATGACAACCGATGAGATTATGAGAAGTGAAAGTTAAAACTGAAAAATACCTGCCACGTGGTAACAAAGTATTGGAGGGAAGAAACGGCCAGCTAGACCACTACAATAATGGCCAATCAGCTCACGTCACTGGCGTAACCACCACGGAAGCATTTATTACAACAATTAAATATTGTTAAAAAAAAAAAAAAAAAAAAAATTGCGGAGTCGTTAAAACTCCACACTCCATAAGGGAATTGAAATGTCACTACTGAAAGCTGATACAGAACAGCAATAAGAAGCATGCCGAAAGCAAGCCGCAAACAATTCAAATGAAAATTTTATTTAAGTTGATGGAGGAGATGTCCATTTTACAGGGACCCCACCTCCACCCACTTTGATGGGATCACGGAATTTCTACTTCAATCTCCACAAAAATGAAAAAAGTGGATACTTTAGGATTGATTATATTTATAATTTTACAAATAAGTTCTAAAATAAAATAATGAATTTCTGGTTATTTTAAATTTTTAGAACTTATAAATCTAATGGGCATAAAATTAAATGCTTTAAGATTATGTTAAATATAAATTCTAAATTTATATCAAATAAATCATTCCATTTTTGAAAATTTAATTTCTAAAGTTCTAATGAAACAAAATATGATGACAACACGATGGAGGGGCATAAATAGTATTTTTGAAAAATATAGGGGCTAAAGTGAAAAATTGAAAATATAGAAATTAAAATAAACTAAAATAAAGAAAAGTAAAAGTGGAAAGACAAAAATAATATTTAATGAACAATCATACCGTAACCATAGGCCGCCGGCTAAGCACGATTCAACTAGGCTACCTTTTCTAATCACTTCAATTGAGTTTCAAAAAAGAGAACACGTTTTAAATAGGCCACCAGCTAAGTACTATCAGTTGGAGTATACTAACAAAGTAGATAAAAGTATCTTATGTGCAACGAGTCATATCCACCACTAGTAGATATTATCCTTTATGGACTTTCCCTTTCGAATTTCCCCTCAAGTCATTAAAACAGTCTGTTAGGGGAAAGTTTCTACACCCTCATAAAGGGTGTTTTGTTCTCCTCCCCAACCAATGTGGGACATCACAATCCACCCCCCTTCGGGGCTAGAGTTCTCGTTGGCACTTGTTCCACAATTCACCCCCTTAGGAGCTAGCGCTCTCGCTGGCACCTGTTTCTTTCTCCAATCGATGTGGGATCACCACCAAATTCACCCCCTTTGGGGCCCAGCGTCCTTACTGGCACACCGCCTCGTGTCTGGCTCTGATATCATTCGTAACGACCTAGATCCACCGCTAGCAGATATTGTCCTATTTAAGCTTTTCCTTTCAGACTTCCCTTCAAGGCTTTAAAATGCGTCTGGTAGGGAAAAGTTTCAACACTCTTATAAAGGAGGCTTTGTTCTCCTCCCGACATCACATGATGATAGCCCACCCACGTGAGACCAAGAAACTCTCTAAGCCAATCACTCGAGCAAGGTGTGCCACTTGACCAAACACCTGAAGTTCATATTAATCATCCATTAACTATCCATCAATCAAATATTACAATTGGCTAAGCTAATAATCCATAACTGATACTAAGAAAGACATGCTCAATGGGTATGTCATTGCTCTTTCCGTCAATCACATTAAGAAGTAGCTTATGTAAAGAAAATAGTGGCACATCGCCGCACTCTATGCTAACTTAATATGTCAACTGATAAAGATATGACCAACATTAAAATACCGCACCTTAAGTCATCCTAACAAGTTACACCAATCAAGGTAGTCGTGATTGAAGCAAGTATTATAATTTGGTGTCACTTTAATTGGTCACCTTGAATAGCGATAATCGTCACTTTTCCTCTCTTTAAATATAGCGATGATCAAAGATATATACTGTAACAACTCAAACTCATCACTAATAGATATTGTCAGCTTTAGTCTATTACATACCACGATCAACCCCATGATTTTATAACACGTTTAGTAGGGAGAGGTTTTCACACCCTTATAAGAAATGTTTTGTTCCTCTCTCCAACTGATGTGAGATCTCACAATCCACCCCCTTGGGGGCCAGCGTTCTCACTACCACACCACTCGGTGTCTAGCTCTGATACTGTTTGTAACAGTCCAAGCCCATCGTTAGCAAATATTGTTCGTTTTAGCACATCATGTACGCCGTCAACCTCACGGTTCTAAAACGCGTCTACTAAAGAGAGATTTCCACATACTTATAAGAAATGTTTTATTCCGCTCTCCAGTATGGGATCTCGTACGCATAACACTCAAGGGCAACAAATCTTACTCAAAACTTTAATCTAGTTGAAGTACTAGGAAGTGATTAATATAGATTACGTATGTCAAGCACCGGCTCTTTTTTCTTTTCTTTTTTCCTTTTTTAATAGGGATTCTTGAACCAAGTCACTAGCTGCCATTCCATCTAATCCTTTCTCTTAATATCACGATTGCACAAACATAATTATAACTCCTCAATCTCTACTATGTGATGAACTACAATAGATGAAGCCTATTTTTACTGTTGGATTAACTAATGGCAGTATAAACGAGCTCATTCATCTTACAGACTTCAATTTCCAAGCGCGGCATAAACCAACTCCCCTGAAATTTGTGGCTGAGAGGAAAAGGTCAAACTCAATACTAAGTTAGAGAACGCATTCTCAAGTCTACTCTATTTGACCTCATCTCTTCATATGTATCCTCTTGTGAACTAAATTTGGCGCACATGAATAAGAGATGCCTCATGGCTCACGTCATTCTCCTCTCTCAAGAGAATCCCTCTTATGGTGCATAGAAGGGAACTTGAACGTGGGACCTACAACTTTGAGGTGATGGAGGATAGATATTGATTAGCCTAACTCTCCCAAAAGTTACAGGGGCAAGTTCAATATATTCCCGTTCACCACGTGGGATCGAGTACAAGAATATACTTTTGAGTCTTTTCCATTTAGGATTATATGCCTGAAAACATCCTGTATGAACCTGATTGTGCACGCTCAAAAAGCAGGAAGAAAAGCTTCCAAATTCCTCAAAACCTACCCGTTGTTCCTTGCTGATCCCAAAAATATTGATTATGCAATTTATCAGAAACAAGTCGCCTAACTAGTGATACCATAATTCGGAAAGGAAGCTAGAACGAAATTTTGATCTGAACGGACAAAGATCATGCAGCACCTAACAATTAGGGAAAATGAAACTCCCTGCTGATATTCTATCCCTGCTGATACAGCTCGAAACCCTTCCTCAAACCCAGATCTAATCTGAGCGCCTTGGTTGTAAGAGCATTAGGCTAAATCAATTATTTTCTGGTGTATGTAAACGATTATGAATTAGGACAGAAAACATTGCCCACCAATTGGTGAACAAATGTTTGGTGCTACAAGGTAGCAGAGTTTTACAAAAAAAAAACCAAATCAACATATTCATTCCGCTTACAATTGCAATTAGAATATGACAAATTTAAACGTAAAGATAAGAATCAAACCTCCAGTAGCTGAAGAGCATGGCATTATGGTGAAGTTATATTGTCCACATCTACAACGATCATCTCAGTAAATAATAAACATCGACCAACCTAGCCTCATGCAAGACATATCAGGCAAAAGCAGTCGATTGAGACGAAAGAAAATGTAGAATCCATAACTTCTTTAAACACCGGCTAATCAATGATTCAACATTAGAAAAAATAAATCCACAAAACTAATATCTAATAGACAAATTTTTCTTAGAATTATATGATCTCAGATAACACTAAGACGAAAGTGCAATCGAATTCCAAGGGAAAAAAATGCAAATAAGTATCAGACAGAATCATTCGCATCCAAAATTGAACTCCATAACACAAATAGCAAAAATCACAATGAATTGATTTCAACGAGCGATGAAATTTTGAAATGAAATCGGACAGACAAGAAAACAAAGATGCATTGGTGATCAGAAATGAAGCACGAAAAGGTAATACAACAGAAAGTATGAACGAGATACAGATTGGAGAGAATCATAAATGAGAAACGGATCGCAGTTCTTACGGCGGGAAGATTGGCGCCGAACAGCATGAATGAATATCTTCGACGAGAGAAAATTCGGGAAACTGAGGGAATGTTCCGTGCGATTTGTAGACTCGGTCCCATATTATCCGGCCCATCTTCTTAGAAGCCTTACACAAAAGCGCTAAATAAAATCAAAATTTACGGCGACTTTTTCAGTAAAAAACAATTCAAAGCTCGAATTCACGGGCCAATTCGAAAATTGTGTCCTTACCCTCGGATAACGTATGCTCAAACCTCTAATCCGTTTAAGAATATGATTTTTAGAAGATGAGATTAGAGAGATTTTCGAGAGAGTTTGAAAGCAAGACGGAAAGAAATGTTAAAAACGATGTTATAGGCTATAAGCGAAAGCCAACATAACAGCTTAAATAGCAAATAACTCCGAGTATAAAGAATTAGTGATCAATCTCATCTTCCTATAGTACATTTTGAGGCATTTCAGGTCACCAGACCTACCGGAGGCTCTGGGAAGTCGGAATAGGAGAGCACTCATCTTGGGGGGCTTACTACTTAGATGCTTTCAGCAGTTATCCACTCTGCAGTTGGCTACTCAGCGTTTACTATGGGCACGATAACTAGTACACCAGAGGTGTGTCATTCCCAATCCTCTCGTATTAGGGAAAGGTCCCCTCAATGCTCTAACGCCCACATTGGATATGGACCGAACTATCTCACAACATTCTGAACCCAGCTCACGTACCACTTTAATGGGCGAATAGCCCAACTCTTGGAACATACTACAGCCCTAGGTGGCGAAGAGCCGAGACATGTAACGAGCATGCGACTATCGACAACACGCCTTGGACAAGCACGACTATGACACTCGGCCTTTTTAACACTCAACAACGAAATAGAAACTTGATTTGTACACTTTCTATAAGCGTTTTTTAGCACACGTCATGCTCGGGAAGTAATAATACAAGTAGTATGAAATTCATATTTTTTTTATAGCCAATTATACTCTGCCACGTGTCCTAGATGATTCACCAAACGCACTACAATGACTTGTTTGCTTTTAGTATACCAAAGTTGTTATATTTATTACTTAACTATGAACGAAAACTAGCTTTTTAAGTGGTGACTTTTGATGGCGACAATTAGACTTATACAAGAAAGTTGACTATTTATTTATTTTCCAAGCCATAATTGTGACTGCTCGTGGCCCCTATTTTCCTGGTTGAAAACGTTATGTTTATACACTCTTTGTACTTTCTTTTAGCTTAGCTTATATCATCGTAGAAAGACCACTGTTATTATATATCGGGACAAGATAACTATTATCAAATCATATACTGTGAGGTCCTACATTAATTGGAGAGATGAACGAGTGCAGCACAGACGCTGGACCTCGAAGGAGATAGATCGAGAGATCCCACATCGGTTGAAAAGGGAAATGAAACATTATTTATAAAAGTGTGAAAATCTCTCCCCAACAGACACGTTTTAAAAACCTTGAGAGAAAACAAGAGAAAAAAAAATATCTGTTAACAGTGAGTTTGAGTTGTTATATATACATTTTATTGAGCATGGAGTTGGGTTGGGTTAGGTTAAAACCCGACTCCCCTCTTGGTCCACTCATATATGAAATCAGTGTTATCGACCCCCTCCACCAACATGAACATAGCTCGGCCGTCATAAATTCAAAGACCATTGTTATTATATATCGAGACAAGATAACTATTATCAAATCATATACTGTGAGATCCTACATCGATTGGATAGATGAACGAGTGCAGCACAAACACTGGACCTCGAAGGGGTAGATCGAGAGATCCCACATCGGTTGAAGAGGGAAATGAAACATTATTTATAAAAGTGTGAAAATCTCTCCCCAATAGACACGTTTTAAAAACCTTGAGGGAAAACCAGAGAAAAAAAAATGTCCGTTAACAGTGAGTTTGAGTTGTTATATATACATTTGCATGGAGTTGGGTTGGGTTAGGTTAAAACCCGACTCCCCTCTTGTGATCAACTCATATATGAAATCAGTGTTATCGACCCCTCCACTGACATGAACATAGCTCGACCGTCATAAATTTGAATGTGTAAAAAGTTTGAATCCTCCACCTCACACATAGTTGTACTAAAAAAATCACATGACAATTGAACATCAGTTATTATTTCAAAGGTTACAGATCATTTCCGGACAATTGAACTAAAAAAAATAAATTAAATAATTTTTAAAAAATCATGAAAGAATATCATTTACCTAAATTTCGTAATAAATTCAAACCTAATTTAATAAATATGATCTAAAATATATAAATAATTTTTAAAAACAATATTATTAGTATTAAAACGAAGGGTAAATTTGGAATTGAATTTAAGACTATTAAAAGTGGTTTTCGAAAAATCTTAACCGTTTTTTTTATGTTTGGTAAAACTGATTATACGGTAAAAAAAAAAGACTTTTTGTTTATTTTTAAAATAGATTGTTCAAAAATTAGTTACCTATTTACTTTTAAAATAGATTCTTGTGGAATAAGATGTACCCATCAAAAAGTAAAAAAAATTATATATAGCATCTTTTACCACAACCAAATTCTATCTCTTAGTTTTTTAAATTAATTAATTAATTAATTAAATAAAATCGTTTTAAAAATGACTAAAACCATAATATATATATTTAAAAAATGGCCTTTTCTTCTAATACTTAATTTAATGCAAATAAAATATATTTAAGTAGAAAAATGTTATATGAGAGAATCTTTAATATATTAAAAGTAAAGTTAAGAATTTTGAAAGATTAAAGTCAAAATCGTAAATAATTAAACTATAGAGGAGGAATTGCAATTCGTATAAAATATAAGGGCCTTATTGTAATAATCAAACTAAAGGGTAAAAATTGCAATTCGCCTCAAATACAGGGCCTTCTTTTTAATTCGTGTCAGGTTTCAGGCTATGAGAGCGGAAAGTAGGTGGGATGCCGGGTGGGGGATATCTTGGCAAATAACTATAAGAACAGGGGTATGCCTGTAAAAGCCTGATCTTAAAGTCGCATTGTAGCCAGAGGGTCGGTAGAGAGTCTTTTGGTGCTCTCTCCGTCGCGTAATTTCTGTGTCGTTTCCTCGCTGCAGTTTCTCCATCTCTGTAAGGTCTAGTTCTCAGTTTGATTTTGGATTCCATTTCGCGATCTTCGATAGCGATAGCGATCGCGATCGCGATTTTAATTGTTGTAACAATTCACGAAAAGATTTAGAGTTTAATCGATGGAGGCCGATTCCTGGAATGCTCCTTTTCAACTTTCATCGTCTCGACGCTACCGATCTCGTTCCGGTACGTTTCCGACTCGTTTGTTTTAGAAATGCTCTGTTTGGCTCTGATTTTTTTTTTTTTTTTTCCTGGATATGGACGTTATCTTATGGTGGTTTGTTTTGTTTTCTTGATGCAGGTGTGTACCAAGGAGATCACGAAGAAATTGAAGAGGAAAATTCGAGGACTGAGTTTTTGTGCCCGTTTTGCGCCGAGGATTTTGATATCGTAGGTCTTTATTGTCACGTCGATGAGGAGCATCCGGTGGAAGTCAAGAACGCGGTATGCCGATTTGATAATTTTAATTTATAGCATAAATATGGCCGATCTACAACTTCCCGTGATAAGTAATTCTCGTATTAGTTCCTATTCAGCCGTTGTCTTAATAATCCTGAAATATTCTGTTTTGGTTGAGATTATCATGTACTTATTGTTAAAGCTGATAAACGTGGAATTGTAATGTTATATTCTGATCCCCTTAATGAAATCTGTTCATCCTTTTTTTTCTTTTTTTTTCCTCAACTATGGGTTTATAAATTTGTATCCTGTTTTCTCGATTGGTTTAGATTTCGGTTTTCGCCTCTTTAACAGCTCTATTTAGGGCTGTAAAGTCCTTTTATGAAGGTGTCTAACTGCATTTCTGGATTCTGCAGCTTAATCTACAGTAATCTAAACTATAACTATAGATCATTATAGCTAAGGAGATAGAGAGAGAACAAAATTTTATTCTATATGAATCACATGCCTAGCTTTGTTCATCTTTCAGTAAGATTATATCAGTTGTACTATATTATTCTAGTATGTGATGAGGAGTGGAAATAAAGGGATAAATTGAAACAATTACTGTCTTTATGGTGTCTTAATTCGTTCTTCCTGAAAGGTTTCATTAGTACATTCAGTAAACAGTTTTTATATTCGCCACTACAAAATCGGTCAAATGGGTAATATCCCCCCCTACCCCTTCATTTTGTATAACTCTGGATAGCATGATCATTGTGAAGATGCCATCAAAATTGTTAATTTTTGTCTCACTATTGTGCTATTGTAATTTCAGGTATGTCCCCTATGCACGAAGAAAGTGGGGATGGATATTGTTGGCCATATCATCTCACAACATGGGAGCCTTTTCAGGATATCCTTAATTTTCATTTTTGTTAATTTATCTTCTGGCGTTCAACTCAACTTTCACAGGATTTATCACCTTTTCTTTTTCATCTAGAATTACAAGTTTTGGAATGACCATAATCACTTTTGTCACTCCCAAAGATCACCTCTGTTTTTAAACTAAATCATTCAAAACCAGTTTTGGTTATCTGAAAATTACTTCTAAAAGTGTTGAACTAAACGTGACCCAAGTCTGAGCAAAATAATTTACGATGTTCTGCAAAGCTATTGGTGTTTGTGGATCAGATGGAGCCTCAAGTCAATTCCTGAAATCGAAGGCCTGTCCTTTGTAATTTATGTTTGCTGATATGTAGTTATTCCACTTCCTTGACTAAAAATTACGTGCAGCGACAGCGAAGATTGCGAAAAATTGGGTCCAATTTGACATTTTCAAAGCTGAGAAAAGAGCTTAGGGAAGGAAACTTGAGATCCCTTCTTGGTGGTTCTTTACACTCTGCCCCCACAAGTACTGAGCCTGATCCATTGCTGTTTTCTTTTACTTCTAATCTGCCTACATTCAGAAAACCTGCTAGAGTGCAGTCTCAGTCGTCAGCCGAAGTAATTTCATCACAGGAAAATCCCGAGGCTCATTCAGAGAGGAGGTAAGAACACCCCCCCCC